GTCATTACACTGTCACAATTACAAAGCAACGAAATGTAGTTTGCATCTATTCAGAAGTGCTACACACGGAAATAAATATCTTTTTACTGTACATGTGCACAGAAACTATGTATGTATTGACTAGAAATCCTATACATAGAGTAATTGTAAGAGACTTTAAAATAAATAAATATGAAAAACCATTAACAGATATACAGAAAAGTTAGGATATGGATTATATATTAGTGGGGTTATAATGCAAAATACATAAATAATAATAAATTAAATAATAATAAATAATGACAGATAATAGCAGATGAAAAATTTATATACAGTTTATATACAGTTTGTATATAAGCCATGTCACAGACTATTTATCCTTATTTATTCTCCATGATCAAATGGAGATTGTCCATTTACAATATTCCAATCAAAAAAAATTTTTTTTTCTAACAAACTTTTAGTATTTTTTCATTGTGAGTTCTGACAAAGAGCAACCAGATTTTGAGGTTGAAGATATGTGAAAAAATTCTTATGGTCAACCATATCTAAAATAACTGATAGCTGTGGTAGAAATGTGACTAAGATGCAAAAATAATAAAACTGTGTTGAAAGTGTAATGAATGTATAGTTCAATTCAGTATCATTCTGTTTATAGCACCAATTCACAGCACATGTCATCTCAAGGCACACTTCAACCAGACCATGCAGTTAAGTTGCTAGTTAAGCAACATGGGTCATTGCAGCTAATTTTATCTAAGTATATTAGTTTTATATTCTTTTTGTAGAAATAGTTCTTACAGTAATAATTCTATAATCAGTATAACTCATCAAGCATACCAAAGAATGCGACGAATGAGTTAAACTTCATTGCCAAAACAGATATTTCTTTATAGAACTGAGTTACAACTCTTTGTCGGTGAATAGTAGATTAGAATGTAGTCATTTCTAAAGCATGTTTTCACAGAGCATGATGTGACTGACCGAGCACCAAGTAAGGCGGAAAGACTGAACACTACATTGCCAAACCCATATTCATAACAAAAACTTAGGGGGTATTAAAGGATTTGTTTCATCCTCTGCAGAGAGGTTTGTCCTGTCAGAGCCATCACCAAGCAGCCAGAGTCACTAAGTACATAACAAAGCACTTTCTGCATTCACTGAACTTTTTAAAGTACAGTATGCTTGTTGCCAAAACAATTACGCATGTTAAAGCAAGTGCTGGGTTATATAATCAGTTTCCATCATAGTGACAGGTACATACTCAAATAGTCTCAAGGATATGTGGCAAATACTGCTCTGTGAGATGTCTGGTCTAGACAGATAGGATCTTTTTTTCTGTTTCAAATATTGCAAGGGCTGAAATCTGCACCCTCAGTAGAGACGGTAGAATTGTTTCTTTTTCTGCCAACTGTGTTAAAACTGCGCAAGTATATGATTTTGCAAAAAGATAAGTGTGCGCATTCATAATACATTTTTCTGCCATATAACAAAAACACCTTTTTCTTGTATAGAAAAAGATTGTGAGAGAAGACAAAATGTACTTTAATCAGGACAGCGTGACCTGCAGAGGAGTTCTAATTTTCTAATTACTATCCACCTAACGTGTTTTCTGTTTGGTTCTTGGAAAAAAGCCAAAATATTGTACTGCCAAGTTTTGTGGTAACATTAAGGAATGGTAAGAACATACACAGACCAATCAACATCTATTACGTCTGCTGATGCCAAACCAGGAATCCTCCGCCTCCAGTGTCGAGACCAGTTTTAGTACAGAGATGCCCCATAAATCCATGATAAGCAGACAAACAAGCTGCAGACATACAGTAAACAATCCATCCTGTTATTTTTGGACCAAACAATAAGTGGGAGGGGATAAAAGGGCAAGTTGACACAGAGCTGTACTGCAAGGAACAAGAACATTTGTTCACAATTACTTCAATTTGTTCCATAATAATGAAGGGTTTTTGATGTATTTTCTAGAGAAGAACAGCAAAAGAGAATGTGATGAATGATTAACATAAACATAAAAGCATTTTAATAAGAAATTTGATATAACACCAATGCTTGAAAACTGTTGTTTCTCTTCTTTTACTCACATTTAAAATTCTTTAAGACATTTTGGCCAACAAATTTTCTTTTGTAGGAATAAAAATAGAAGTTATTAATGAGAGTTTGACATAAGCTTAGGGCTAAAATCCTGCAGACAAAAAAAAAAAAAAAATATATATATATATATATATATATATATATATATATATATATATATATATATATATATATATATTATTTTTATTTTTTTAAGCAGAAAAAATGTACTCAAATAGAATACTAAATTAAATAGACACACCCTTGTCAAAATAATGAAAACATCGGGGAAAGAAACTCTTTAGGCCGTTTTCACTAATCTGTGGTGGACAGGCTCGACAGTGGGCACAGTCAGATAGCACCTTCTCTCTAACGGAAATACCAGAGGCCAGAGACAGATAAGAGCTTTGAGGAACTGTCCAGTCGTCGGTGTTCTCTACATGGATGAGGTGATAAGGCACATGAGCTCACTGGGTTTCTGAGAGAATGACACACTTGTTTTTTTAACAGGCTGGAACTTTTTATATCGATTTAGTTTGCCCTGTTTGAAAACTAACTTCTTAAACAAAGCTGATGGTCGGCAAATCACAAAAACAACAAAAATGCACAATAGTAGATTTAAGCTGAGCTGTGGTGCTTTCAGACCCCCCCCCCCCCCCCCCCCCCCCCCCCTGGTGACTGTAGGGTTAGGCTTAGCTATGCTATGGTGACTGGGATTGGGATTTTAACACTTAATATTTTGAAATATAAAGGAGGTGTAAGCACCACATTGTTCATATTCTCAGGAACAGTTTAATCTGTACATTTTCCATTTTTATCTTTTTATAATTATTCCCCTACTTCTTTGTAGTTTATACTTTATTTTTCTGGCATCCCAACCCATCACCCTTTGTCGGCTGCACATTGACATCACTAGCCTGACACCAGCTGATTCTGACTGAAGTCATCTTCCGCAGTCAGCATTTATGCTCCTGCATCTGTTCAGTTAGTTATGGGCAGGGGCGGATTAAGAAATTTTGGCCCCCTGGGCCTGACATGGTCTTGGCCCCTCAACCCCCGGCGCGTGCGGGCGCACACACACGCTATGCAAGAAATACTGTATACTGTGAACAGACATGCACACTGTCCTGTACAGAAGAGTGCACATACTGCACACACACTATTAGGTATACCACACAGACACTGACAAGCACAGGTTTCACACAGACACAGGGGGAGGGGATAAATGGCCTAAAAATAAACATTTTGGAAAATGATTATGCCCACTTCAGTGATGGTGCATTGGGTCATTTGAGAGATATTATGTATTGGAAGTTGGTAGCTATCATGAAATAAACCCCCCACCCCACCCAAAAAACTAAATCGGACATGATTTTTGCCCCCTTTTCCTCCCTTCTATCATTAAAAATAAAATAATATCTTAGGAAAACACTTTGGCATAACGGCAGCTGTGCAGCAAATTGAGGCTCAAAGTCTGTATCTATTTGTGGTTAAGCTTGAGGAGAAGGAGAAAGGTAAAATGATAACATGCATCGGAGAGCACCACAAAGAAAGGTGTAGGCCAGTTTATGGTACAAGGGCTGCATGCAGGTCAAGATAGCCCATTTCCAAGAATGCTATAGTGGCTGGACAGGCACTGGACATGTCCTGAACTCAGTGTCAGACGTGGCTGCCGAATACTTGGATGAAGTGAAGCAGCTGACAGATCTCATGCTGCCCCATCTGAAGACTGTCCTGGCCAGGCAGAAGATGGATGAGGATACCTTCCCAATGGACCCTGTCAGTGAACAGGCTAGTAACATTGATGGCACCCCTGTGCACAACATTGGGATGGAGAGACAATGTGGCAAGGTGGACTACAAACTGAAGAAGTTGGGCACACTGAACGCAGTCAATAGGTCAATAATTTTACAGAAGTGCCAGGAGCTTCAGAGGTTTCAAGGCAGCAGCACAAGCAAAAAGGGAGGTTGAACTCAACTGGAGTAAATTCATGAAGGCAAAATTCGAGAGTAGGGCAGATGAGAAACAAGAGATGGCTCAAAGAAAGGAGAGTAAGAGACTAGACATGCTGGACACACTGAAATCTTTTGATGGCCCCTTCACGATAGTGGGGAAGTTGAAAAGTTCCTTGTGGATGAAAGTCTGCACAAGAATGCAAAGCTGCAGAGAATGAAGCTTGAGGTTCAGTTTGCCAGAGAAAGCACCAAGCTTCTGCCTAAAGTCAATCCTATCTTCACAATCCAGGTGACACTTCCCAGAAATGGCGAAAGTGCAATTCTCCAAGTCATAATGGATACTTAGAATTTTATGGTGGTGGTAAGTATTCATGAAAACAGGTAGCCTAACATTAGTGAATGGGTGAATTCTGGAAATAACCTAAAAATCTTACACAGTGCACCTTTAAGCAAGGGGTTTCTTTCGTGCTTTCAATTTTGCAAAATCATCCACCACATCATTGAAGTCCAACTCTCTTGTCAGCTCACTCTCAATTGCCATTAGAGATAACGCATTTAATCTTTTCTGAGTCATTCTTGTGCGCAGCTCATTTTTTACTCTTGACAAAAGAGAGAATGAGCGTTCTCCCTCACAGTTACTGACCGGTAGAGTGAGAAAAATCTGTAGCGCAATGTATGTATTAGGAAACGTAGGCTGTAGTCCAAAATGTATTATTGTTTTGAGCAGTCCTGAAGGGGTCCTCTCCTCATCAGTGTTGTTGAGCTGTATAAAAGATTTTAACTGTATAAGCTCCTGTCCAAGACTTTTATTGAGGTCAGATGGGTATGATTCAGTGAGAATCTTGGCCTTGTGAAGGACAGAAGCATTGGACTCTGTATCCAAAGAGAAAAGGACACTGAACAAATTGTTCAGATGTTTGTAGGCCTCCAGACGGTGATTAAGGCTTGAACTCAGTTGATCAATAGAGGCAATACATGTCTCTATTTGAAACAGTTGCCTTCCCTCAAGCACGATTCATCAGCAAACTTTTTACGTTTCCTCGTCCGTTCAGCCCTGTAAGATGGGGTGCCACCCAACATGTTTAAGGCTTTCTGCTCAAAATGATCAAATAGATCTCTTTGGGAGAGAACAAAGGTGCGCAGAGATTCCAGCAATCTAACTGCTGTACCAAGGTCCATGTCTGCTTTTTGAAGTTGCAGACTTGTGGCCTGAAATCTGGACAGAACAGTGTCCCAAAAGCCTGCCATGAAGGCCATCTCAAGTGAATCCAGCTTCCGCACTAGACTGTCAGCTTCAGTTCGTGTGTCTCGTTTCTCTGTGTCGTCAGTGGAAATAACCTGTAGTGCTGCTTTTATTTTACTGTAGTTCTGCCACAGTGCTTTGGTAGATTCTGCACGGCAACTCCAACGCGTGTTGGATAAAGCTTTAAGTGTGAGATCTATGTTGGAATTGCCAAATACCCTGTCCCATCGGTGTGTGGATGCAGTTGTGAAGTTGTAAATAGACTGAATCAAGTCAAAATACTTAGAGACTTCATTTCCACATCTGTCAATGCTGTTGACTCCCACCAAATTCAAAGAGTGAGCTGCACATGGAATATAGTGTATTAATGGGTTGCTTTTCTTTAAGTGAGCCTGCAACCCATTATACCTCCCTGACATGTTGCTGGCATTATCATAAGCCTGCCCTCTGCAATTTGACAGCTCTAACCCTAGAGTTTCCAACACAGACATGACACAGTTAGCCAAACTTTCACCTGTATGGCTAGTAATGGGCTCAAAACCCACAAAGCGTTCAACAACACTGCCCTCTTTGCTAACAAAACGGAATATGAATGTCAATTGGTCCACATGAGATAAATCTGGGGTTGAATCCACAATGATAGAGTAGTATTTGCTTGCTTGCAGTTCATCTGCTATAGCCTGTTTGGTTTTTGCACCCATCAATTCAATGAATTCCTCACAAATGGTGGAGGACAGATATGAGGTATTACCTCGACCCATCTGCCCAAACTTTCTGATGTGATCCTTTAGAAAGGGATCAAATTCAGCCAGGACCTCCAGAATACCAAGGTAGTTCCCATTGAGAGGAGACCCTAACGATTCATTTTTACCCCTAAATGCAAGGCCCCTTTCTGCAAGGAATTTAATGACTGCAACAACTCTTTGTAACACCTGCCTCCAATAGCTGCTCTCTGCCTGAAACTGTTTGAACAGGTCTGCATCAACTGTGGCACCTTTGGCGTGGTTCAAGACTGCTTGCATGCAGGTTATGTGCTCAGCACTTTGCTCATGTTCACCAAATCTTTCTGAGTGTTTCCAATCACAATAGCCTGTCACAAAAGAATGCGTTTTTGGGGAAAACAGTTTGCATGCAAAGCAGTAAACATTACCAGTAGAGGGAGAGTACATCAGCCACTCTCTTTGTACTCGTTGTCCATTGGGCAAGTGTGAAGTAAAATGTTCATTGTTTAGGCATCGGGTTTTGCCTCCTAGCCCACTGTTCCTCACAGAAGCTGGATAATGGCTGTGACGGTTGTGAAATGATTTTGCACCTCTTTGAATAAGAACTTCCTTCATTGACTCAGTGAGGGTCTCAGCCCATTTAGCGGGATCATTAGGTAGAGTTGTCACTGTAGATGGTGTTGAAGAAAGATTCAGCTCATTTTCTATGCTGTCCAGAGGTGCAGTGACCTCACATTCATCCGAGCAACTGGCTACTGCTGAATTGGTTGAATCATAAGCATCAGAAGCATTTGGTTCAGTGTCTACACTTGTAGTGGTCTCAGGATCTTGGGAGCTACATGCTAGCTCAGGTGCATTGCTAACCTTAGCTGAATTTGCAGTAGCATTTATAGAATTGCTTTCAGCAGATGTCTTTGTACTGAAGAAGCTGGAGATATTTGGAACACTCTCAAGTAAAACTGATTCCTTTTTTTTTCTTTTCTTGCTGAATTTTTTTTCTAGCTCCTCCACTTAAACGTTTATGATCCATATTTCCCTTCTTTCTTTGCACATTGGCTCTTTGCCTATCACAACAGATAAACCAACTATGTGTGTGTGTGTGTGTGTGTGTGTGTGTGTGAGTTTGTTTGTGTGTTTATGATCGGTGCTGCTTCCTTCAAGTGTGTGAGGTGATTTAGAAAACTAGCAACCCAGCATCAACACTCCAAAGCAGAGAATAACAGCTTACTAGCATAGACAATTGAGAGCAGAGAATCAACTGATTCGTCTGATAGACAGCAGGAGAGCAGAGTGGTCAGTGATGATCGAATCAAGAAAATGTCTAAATGGCAAGGGAACAGACTGATTTGTACTGAGGAGAAAGAGAGAGAGAGCCAATTACAGTGAAATATATTCCAAAAGAGCCAAGTGACTAGCTGAAGGCAGGGACAAATGCCTTGGAGTGACCAACAAGAGTGCAAAGTACCAAATGGCAAAATGTGGGAAGACCAACAGGCAGATCTGCTTTTACCACTTATCTTCACAACCAAAAAGTCGCTAAATGATGTTTTTAGTCGCTAGCCAGGTATGGCCAAAAGACACGAAATCTAGCGGCAAAGTCGGTCAATCACACTGACAGTGAAACAAATATTTTGAAAAGATAATAATTGTACAACTTTGTGCACTTTTGTCTTCTATCTAAATATTTTCACAAAGGACACCAAAATGTTGCTATCTGCAGGCAGCTTGCTAGCTATGATGGCAGCAACGATGTCTGCCAGACAGGAGAGAGTGGTCAGTGACGATCGAATCGAGAAAATGACAAAATGGGTCAAAGACCAAAAAGTTATTAACTGACAGCAGTGACAAATGTCAGACTGTAAACTTTTTCGAAAGAAAAGGACAAAATGGGAAGATGCTGATAGTAACAGCAAAATGGAAAATATAAGAATTTCCAAGTAATGCTCAACTCAAGTGTGTGTGTGTGTGTGCGCGCGTTAAACTTCTTGTTGAATGATTTCAAATTATCTCTGAGTCTGAACTGAGGGAAAGGAAACCAAATTTTGAGCAGTCTCTCACGAGTTCAAAATACCAAATGAGGAGATTCTAAAAGAACAGACCGGTTTATGAAAGACTTGATGGGGGAAGGGCACAGCTAAGAATACTTGAGTGAGATTCTGTGATCCAAATTCGAGATAGAGCTTTTTGATAATGATAATTTGTCAGAGTAAGGTTGTGTAATCAAAATTTAAGAATGAGCTTTGTCAATCAATCAAGAATATTTGCATTAAGTTCTGTGATCAAAATTCAGAAACAACCTTTAATAATTGATAAAGAATATGTGAGTGAGGTTGTGTGATCCATCCAATTTGAGAATTAGCTTTGATAATAATGATTGAGAGCCTCTGGCCCTCTGTGGATCATGGCCGCGGGGCCAATTTTGCCTGGCCCCTTGGGGCCTCTGTTGGCCGTGGCCGCGGGGCCAAGTTGGCCTGGCCCCTTGGGGCCTCTGACCCTCTATGGATCGGGGCCAAGTTGGCCTGACCCCTCGGGGCCTCTGGCCCTCTATGGATCATGGCCGCGGGGCCAAGTTGGCCTGACCCCTTAGGACCTCAGGCCCTCTGTGGGTCGCGGCCGCGGGGCCAAGTTGACCTTGCCCCTTGGGGCCTCTTACCCTCTATGGATCGTGGCCGCGGGGCCAAGTTGACCTGGCCCCTTGGGGCCTCTGGCCTTCTGTGGCTTGCGGCCGCGGGTCCAAGTTGGCCTGGCCCTTTGGGGCCTCTGGCCTTCTGTGGGTCGTGGCTGCGGGGCCAAGTTGGCCTGGCCCCTTGGGGCCTCTGACCGTCTATGGATCCTGGCCGCGGGGCCAAGTTGACCTGGCCCCCTGGGGCCTCTGACCCTCTATGGATCATGGCCGCGGGGCCAAGTTGACCTGGCCCCCTGGGGCCTCTGACCCTCTATGGATCGTGGCCGCGGGGCCAAGTTGGCCTGGCCCCTTGGGGCCTCTGACCGTCTATGGATCGTGGCCGCGGGGCCAAGTTGACCTGGCCCCCTGGGGCCTCTGACCCTCTATGGATCGTGGCCGCGGGGCCAAGTTGGCCTGGCCCCTTGGGGCCTCTGACCGTCTATGGATCATGGCCGCGGGGCCATGTTGGCCTGACCCCTTGGGGCCTCTTACCCTCTATGGATCATGGCTGCGGGGCCAAGTTGGCCTGACCCCTTAGGACCTCAGGCCCTCTGTGGGTCGTGGCCGCGGGGCCAAGTTGACCTGGCCCCTTGGGGCCTCTTACCCTCTATGGATCATGGCCCCTTGGGGCCTCTTACCCTCTATGGATCGTGGCCGCGGGGCCAAGTTGGCCTGGCCCCTTGGGGCCTAAGATTATTATTTTTGCAAAAGTAGTTTTGCTTGGGTCGCGGCCGCGGGGCCAAGTTGGCCTGGTCCCTTGGGGCCTCTGGCCCCCTGGGCCTGGGCCCGGTAGGCCCGGTCATTAATCCACCTATGGTTATGGGTGTCTCCTGGTGTTTCCTTGGTTTTCATTACTATTACCCTCCCGTATGTGCTTCCTCTCTTCTGTTTCCCTTTATATTGAAAACTAGCAGCTTTCTAAACTTACTTTATCAAGATACGACCAGGGTCCTGCAATTGCCTCCTCCTTTTAGATTGTTGTTTTATAGGTATTCAATTAATGGTTCACAGTAGATTTATTTAGCACTGAATTTAAACAAAAAAGTCCCTGGTATACTTAGGCCCAGATCTAGATGTTAAAGCAGCACTAAACAACTTTTAGTTTTGGTCAATTTAGGCTCCCCACAGTGGTCAAAAGGTGTAGAAGTTGTTTTGCCTGAAGGAAGACCCCATTTCCCATGAGGACCAGTGTTTAGTAAATCCATAGCGTAGTAAAATATGGGTTTCCTGGTCACCTGCAGTTGGATTGAACCACATTTCTGTTTCTAGCAGCTGTGTGAAAGATGAATAGTGACGAGGTAAGGAATTTTGGGCCGTATCCCCACACTCCCCTCCCTCCCCTCCCACCACCCACCTTACAATGCCTGAATATCAGCCCTGCAAATTTGCACAAGTATAAGCTGTGTTCGAAGCTGGTGGCTGTGTTTTTTGAAAGTCAAATTTGTTGGCCAATTACGTTATAGCACAGCACCGTGGCCTGTTTGGATTAGAAGACTCCTTCATTTTCATCCCACAAATGCAGCCTACTTTTCCTTTCTGTCGGGAGGACTGGTCCGCTGCACCCTTCTTAGCCTTAGTTGTCCCGTAATTCAATGCAAGGTCAAGCACACCAGCTGCTCCGAGCTCAGATGAAGAAGCGAAATGCTGATGAAGAGAGCTGAATATGTAAGTGCAGGGTGGTATAATACGAGTATGTGAATACTTGCATCTTAAACTAATCAAAATTGTTAATTTAAATGGTTAGTGAGTCAGATATGCAGCAGGTCATGTTTGATTTATTGAAGAGTTTTATCTGTCCCTATGCACATGGGTTTGGCTGGTATTTAAGCACATATTCCGATATTCCTGCGGTGTGGGGACTATAATCTGAGAAAACTGTACTGCTCCTGAAGTTCCTTAATGTTTTTAGCCAACAGAACATTAGCAAGAAGTTCTGCATCCATTAGTTTCTTGGTATGCGAGTCACTTGTCACATTTGCTAGGTGACACAGGTTTGCAAAGAGAGGCGCAGTGACAGTAAGGGAAGGCTCAAGCTGTTTAAATCCATAGGTAAACTCCTCCGGTCTCAGTTTTTCCAAAGCAGAAGCCGCAAAAATTAAACACATAAATAAAGTCTCTCAGGGAAGCATAGACACATCAACTAACATTTTTATAACAAATGGGGAAAAGGGAAAGTGACATATGCAGTCTGCACATTTGTAGTTGTTTTGTGTGGCAGGGTTACTGCCACCCCCTTCAAAGTTGCTACAGTGCTAGTGAAAGCTGTAAATGACACTTAGTGTTGATTTAAACAAATACAACACATCTTACACATCTTATAAGTAATTGAGGACCACAGTATTATTTCTTTTTTGATGTACTGTAAATGCATTTTCTCTTCTCAAAGTTGTTTTTCCTCCTTCAAAAATTGAAAATAACATAATGAAATTTCCATAATAGGAAATAATGGTAAATGTACCTTTTTAAGTGTAAATAAGCTGCTGAGTTAGTATTGAGCAGATTTACTCATTTTCACTTTGGTTAGTTTTTGGTACCCAGCTTGTTGAAACAAATGTTTGTGACAGACAAACAGTGGTTATCTTTAGTGAACCCCATTAGCTCTCCAAATCAGACAGGCAAGTGGGGGCAGGCGGTTAGGCAAAGCCAGAGAGTACATATGATGACAAATTAGGGGGGGGAGAAAACTTGTCAGCATGACTTGAAAAGCCGAAAGATGAATGTATTTGAGTTAAGCCCTGTGCAAAACACGCAGAGACCACCTCTGGGTTGTGTGAGACATTTAGGAATTAGCCTGTCAGTACCTTGCTTTCCAGAAAATTTCACCATTAAGCATACATAATGATTAATTTAGATTATAAATGCTAGCTTTCTTGAGAAAAACAAACAAATTAAGAAGCTTAAATACACAGAGAGAAGTTCACAAAGTGAAGGTCTTGCACTGAGCAGCTGCACTGGTTTTCTCATAATGAGACAGATAAAAGTCTTAGATTTGTTTGTACGCTAAAGGTTAACGTTGGTGATCTTTAGGAATTAACATTTTAAGGAATATGAGTCTACTTTAATCATTTATATGGTATAGCATTACTTGTATACTGATAATGCTTTTTGCTGCAATGTTTGCACTCTTAAAGTGCGCGTTTTCTCCTCATTAACTACACATTAAGAATGGCAGCACAGTTAATAAGTGCTTTTAGAAAAAAAAAAATAAATAAAAAAAATAAAATCAGGGTTGATGTTTTAAAACTTTCTTAGTAATATAATGCTGGCCGAAAGGCCTCACAGGTTTAGAGAACAGATAAATAAAAAGCAGACATTGATTTCGGTATCTAAGATGAAATCTTGCCTTTGGATTGATTCTGCAGCACACACTGTTCCTTTACATAAAAGTTCTCAGCAAACAGCTCATCCTGTTCTTCGAGTTGATCTTGTCATGGCAACCACGTCTTCCACCACAAACGACATTCATATGCATGTGCAGACAAGCTGTATAATAAAGGAATGCTATGAGCCAAGATACTAAAATCATTAAATCCAACTGAAGTTGTATATGAGTCACATAGATATAATGACAAAGGAAAACAACAAAAAGTATGAGAAACATAGTTTCTCATACTTTTTTCTTTTTTTTTTTACATTGTCACAACAGTCCAGAGGCATGAATGAATATGAATAAAAAGTAGAGAAAGGTTCTCAGATTCCCAGGTTATGGGGATGTAGTTTTAACAACACACCTGCATAACCTACAAATCTGAGAACCTCAATTTCCTTAGTTATTACACGTGGGGTTTTGGAAAACTTAATGATGATGTTACGTCCACCTGGCTTGTTAGGTGGGGTAACATTAATGGAGACCACACAAGGATTTTTAGAGTTAATGAAAAAGGAAATGTATTAAATTATATTAAGTAAAACCTGAAAAAAGGATTACCTGAAATAAGAAACCAAAACAGATAATACAGAACCATAACCAATTAGAAATAAACAAACGCAACACAAACCTAACAAAACTCAATCATAAGGTACAAACCAAACCAACTGGGTTCTGAAGAGGGAGAGGAGGAAAAAAGCCTCCTGACTGCTGCAGCATGACAGCTTTTAAGCAGCAGAGCACCAATCAGGGGAAAAATCATAACACCTGCAGAAGGCCTGCCTCCAGGACCCTGAAAGAAAAAGCAGAGACCCCCTGCAGCCGTAACACCTCCCACCTTAAAACAGAGGACCCCAACAGGGACCTCTGTAACCATCTCAGCTTTTTGGTCAAACCATGGTTTAATTTTTCTCTGAGTCTTTTTAAGATTCTCAGAGGCTAGTTAGCCAGCCAAGTTCAGAGCATAGGCTGCAGGATAACAAGTGCTTCTACACATAACTGTTAGCAAATACACAGATCCTAACTTTGAAGGAATCAGTGGGCCAACACAATCCACGATCAAGTGTTCAAAAGGTTTACCAGCAGCCGGTATGAGAAAAAGTGAAGCTGGTTTCAAGGTCTGATTAGGTTTCCCAGTTAACTGGCAAGTGTGACAAGTTTTCACAAAATAAGCGACATCTTTTTCCAGACGTGGCCAAAGAAAACGTTGTAAAACTCGATTATAAGTTTTATTGACCCCTAAATGTCCAGACAATCCTCCATGAGCAGTTTTCAAAACAAGGTTTCTGAACTTGACTGGAACAACAACTTGATAAACTGGACCAACAATTTCCCCGTCACTATAAGGCAACCATTTACGTACCAACAGATCTTTTTGTAGAATATATCCACTTGACACTTTTGTGTCCTGTTCAGCTGCCTGGACTTGGTCAAACAGAGCAGCTAAGGTTGTTTCCTCCTGCTGGGCTGCAATCAACTCACTGAGTGACAAAGGAACAGGAAGAGTTGGCAAACAGGCAGTCTTCTCAAGAACAGAACCAGGCTTACCAAACTCAACCTCCTTATCAGCCACAGTTACTGCACAACCTGGAAAAGCCTCAGGAAAGTCTCGAGCACATACGTCTGACAAAGAAACGGATGGACAAGCTCGGACCACTGGAGGGGGTGCAACATCTCGCCACACACGTCCACCTGCCGGATTGTTTCCTAGAATGAGAGATACACCTTCCACAGGCAACGAAGGACGAAGAGCTATAGTTACCTCTCCTTGTACAAGTTCTGACTGCAAGTAGATCTTATGAAGAGGCACAGAAAGTTTCCAACCCAATACCTCTAATTAAGACACTACAACCAGTATCAGATAAAGGAGAAAATGGCAAAACAGATTCCAATATGAAAGATTCAGATGCTCCGGTGTCACGTAGAATCTTCACAGCCACTCCATTTGAACTGCCACTCAAAGAAACAAACCCATTTTTGATGAAAGGTGCATAGTCCTGTCCGACATCCTTCTCACAAATCTGGGGATCTGTAACAGTCAGTTCTGAAAAAAACTTATAGTCAACAGGTACAGCTAAAACAGTTGGTCTTACACTTTCAACTTTAGCTGGATGTGTAGACTCCACTGAATGCAACTGTGAAACACTGGCTAAAGCAACAGGTTTTTGATCATCTCGTTTACTCCTAGCCGATTTCATTTTGGTATTCAGAGGACACTCATTTTTCCAGTGTCCTTTCTGGGGACAATAGTTACAAACAGAGTCTGCTTTAGATTCCACCCCAGTCTTACCAGAGAACCAATCATGATGAGTGTTTTTCCAGTGTCCTTTCTGGCGACAATAGTTACAAACAGAGTCTGCTTTAGATTCCACTCCAGTCTTATCAGAGAACCAATCATGATGAGATTCCTGAAAGCTATAGCTGCCTTCCCAATTGTAATCCCTCAGTTTTATGGGTCAGAACATACTCATCTGCCAAGACAGCAGCTTTAGCAGCAGTTTTTACCTTTTGCTCGTTAACATATGTGGCAACCCGAGCTGGAATAATGGTCTTGAACTGTTCCAACACCATCAAATCACAAAGGGATTCAAAGTCCTTCACACCTTCAGCTGATAACCAACGATAAAACTGGGTGTTTAGTTGTCTGACTAGATCTGTATTTGTCTGGTTTTCAGCCTTCCTGCAGTTCCTAAATTGTTGCCTGTAATGTTCAGGAACCAGTTCATAAGCCTTCAAAACAGCTTCTTTAACAGATTTGTATACCTTTCTTTCAGCTGATGTTAATGAAACATAAGCTTCTTGGGCCTTACCCACCAGCACACTTTGCAGCAGAATGGAACAATCACGATCACCCCACTCATTGTCCTCTGCCATGTCCTCAAACAAAGAAAAAAAAACACATCAGGATCTTGTTCATTAAACTTGGGTACCAGCTTCAACATGTTAACCAAGTTATGTCCAGAAAACCTATCACCACCTTGAGACAGATTGAAAGATCCACCACTTAACCTGCCCTCAGACATCAACTTCAAGCGCTCAGCTTCCAACGATAATTTCTTAATCTCCAATTCATGTGCATACGCTAGCCTCTTTTCTTCGTGTTCATACGCTAGCCTCTTTTCTTCTTGTTCATACGCTAGCCTCTTTTCTTCTTGTTCATACGCTAGCCTCTTTTCTTCTTGTTCACGCGCTAGCCTCTTTTCTTCTTGTTCATGCGCTAACCTCTTTTCTTTTTGTTCTTGTTCATGCGCTAGCCTGTTTTCTTCTGAAGCTAGTTTTCTCTCCTCAAGCTCATGTGCTAGCCGCAATTTTTCCACCTCAAACCGCATTTCCATCTCAGTTCTCATAGATTGAAACTTTAATTGAGACTCTTGAGATACCGTTGGACCTGGCGAGTCATCATCCAACTTTGAAGCACCAGTTAAAGAATCTATGCCCCGGGAAGTTACATCTGACACATCAGCATCTGAAAAAGAAATGGCAAAGACATTTAGTTGTACAAGTTTGTCTTTTAAGAAACTCCTTAATTGAGGTTTTTTAAATCCTTTCGCAACTCCAAGGTCAATTTCAAAGTGTTCAGCTACTTGATGCATCTGCTCCTTAGTAAGCTTTTCCAACAGTTCTAAAGTTGGGGAAGCCAAAAAAGAACCCACAGTATCCATTTTCAACAAAAAATAATCCAACAAACCAACCTAATCAGAAAACACCAATTTTTTTGTTTCTTTTTCTTTTTTTTAACCAACAATCAGGAAGTGCATAACTGGTACAAACAAATGGCAAAACTCCATTATCCTAACACTAACTAACCGATCAAAGCCCTGACTAATCTTAGCCTAGTCTTCAGGCTTTCCTCCAAGAGCTAAGGCACTTTAAGCACCAAGATACCGCTGGCAGCAAATCCCTCCAGGCCAAAACCTCTCAGGCAGCAAACCACGGCGGTGCCCTCAGCCCAGAGTCCAGCCCAAAAATAACAAACTAAAATAATAAACAGGGTTGACTAAAATGGAGTTGCCAAACAACAAACACCAGATAGCACTTACCTGACACAAAACAAAGAGACTTCTCTCTCCCCCCCTCTAACAAAAGAGCAAAAATCCTCATGGACCTCCAACAACAAACATATGGAACACCAAAAATGTCCAAAATCTAGTAAGGTTCCAAAGACCTTAAAGTAGCCCAAAAACCCACAAACAACCTGCAACACAGGAAAACCAAAATCAGGGGCATGTAACTGCAACCTGAAAACAATCAAGGAGGCCAATTAAGCATAATTAGTCCACATGAATCGGACAAGCCCCCACAATGTTACGTCCACCTGGCTTGTTAGGTGGGGTAACATTAATGGAGACCACACAAGGATTTTTAGAGTTAATGAAAAAGGAAATTTATTAAATTATATTAAGTAAAACCTGAAAAAAGGATTACCTGAAATAAGAAACCAAAACAGATAATACAGAACCATAACCAATTAGAAATACACAAACGCAACACAAACCTAACAAAACTCAATCATAAGGTACAAACCAAACCAACTGGGTTCTGAAGAGGAAGAGGAGGAAAAAAGCCTCCTGACTGCTGCGGCATGACAGCTTTTAAGCAGCAGAGCACCAATCAGGGGAAAAATTATAACACCTGCAGAAGGCCTGCCTCCAGGACCCTGAAAGAAAAAGCAGAGACCCCCTGCAGCCGTAACACTATGAAGTTTCCAAAATGCCTAACTAGAAATTTGTTCGAAAGGAATAAGAGAAAGCTTACTAAATGTTTTTAGTAAGACATTTAACTGAAAAACTCTAAATTCCTTTCATATTTCATGTGTCGTGTCTTTACCATGCACCTACCATGCATTGTGACAATTTTTTTTTATTTAAGGTTTATACTGCTTCTTTCAAATAAAATTGGTATATGAAAGAATATTTGAACAGAGTTTAATGGTGTCAGGTTTTTAAATAGTTCTATTGCTTGGTAGTAAAACTCTTTGTTGACAACTACAGCAGTAAGGCTTATTTTGGTTATCAAGGTCTGTACACATCTCAGGATTGTTTTTTGTTTGTCTACTTCACTATACAGAAATTATCTAAGTTATTAACAATTTATGGCTGTCAGCTGTATGTCTGTAGGATTTAGGCCTGGAGACTGCTAGGCCAGTTCCCAGTACTCCATTTCTTTAGGCTTTCTTTGTTGCCTTGGGGTATGTTTTAAGCTATTGTCATACATCAGACCTCACTTGTAAGTTCTGACTGAGGGAAGAAATTTCTCTTCCAATAGCTTGTAATAGACTACTGGTCTTAAGGTGCTGTAAAGTAATTCTCTAACTTCCTTTAAAAAACCGTCTAAAGCGTTCAGATTTTAACAGTCAAACCTTAGACAGGTCTGTACCAGATTACAGGATTGCAGGACTTTCGTCCATTATGTTCTAGTGTGCATGGTTACTCTGCTCTTCTGAGAATAAGGTTAATATACAATTTGTGAGAGTGAAACCCAATTTTTATTCTTTCCCACCCAGCAAAAATTGGTTGAAAAGACAACACGATTTAAGTGAAAAGAGAATAGCTGCAATTTCAAGATAATTGAAATGACGTACAAAACTTTGTTTTCAACGTCTTTTATTTGACTAAATTGGGAAAAAAAATCGGACCGACCAAACAGCCAAATATTCAGCAAGTATTTCAGGACTAAATCAAGACTATGATGGACCAAACCGACTATCCTAAAAAAACGATAACACTAAATGATGTCTGGTGTTTGGGGGGGATTGTTTGTGCACACAAACTTGGTTAATTAAGTTGATTTTCTGTTGTCAACTGCCTTTGGATCATTAGTTTGTGCATCCATTGCAATTACTGTATATAATAATCTCTAACTTTCCTTCAAAGCCTTTTACTGATGATCTTGAAACCTATTTCAGCCATTTATGTATCAGCTTTATTTCATGTGGAAACCTTTGTCAGCTCTTTGGTCTTACCCTTGATGCTGGAGGGGATTGGGCTTTTAAACCACTACAAGTAAAGGTCAATGATCTGTAAATAGTCACCTATTGGAACATGACAGTTCTGTGTGAGTCACATTTCTAATAGTGCTGGTTAATCAACTGTAGTTGGAGGTTTTTCACTCATTGACATGCAAATCGATCTTAAACAATCTTATTATATCTTATTATAATTGACTTGCTCCTGGTAAATATTTTACACTATTTCAATAACAAAAATGAAAAGTATTGTAAAGTATAAAACAGTCAGTCGAGTCTAGTTAAGTGCAGTACATAAATCAGAGTACATTTACATTCTTGATGAAGAGAAGAGCAAATGCTTTATTATTAGAACCAGGAAGCGTCTTTGAAAAGACAAAGTCAGCCTAATCACAATAGAATAAAATATCACACATGAGATTTATTTATATTTTCAAATAACTCCTGGTCATTGAATACAATGTTTATTTTAAGGGACATCTATGTAGTCATTATAATAAGCTACAGAAAAATTGAGCCAATTGTTTGAATCTACTAACAGTTTCCAGACTTCTCTGGCAAATTGGAAAATAAAACTGCACAGCACCTTTTCCTGTGAGAGGAGCAATTACAAAAACGACATATTGCCATCAAGGGTCAAGTCACATTTTGTCCAAGTTTTGATTCTTTAGGCTATGAGTTAAAGTTAATACAGAGGTTTGCTTTTTTTTTTTTTTTTTTGGCACTTTATTGTTTCTCTTCTCTGACTAAAACTTCAAACAACATATCTGCTACTTACTGTGCAGAAGAAACCACGTTTTCTCGCAGTATCTTCTGGGTAAATGTCTTTGCAGAACTGCTGTCACAAGTGTGTGGTACTGAAACACAAAGCCAACAAAAATAAATAATTTCATACTTTTAAAAACATATTGGTCATGTACAGTAAAATCAAGCAAATTTGGCGATAATGGATTTATGGCCAAAACAAAAACAAAAGGCTGGTATGTTTGCATAAGAAATACATAATAATGTTTAGATAGATACAGAGAATGGATATCATAATTCAAGTATAGAACATGTCTCTTTCAGTTGTGTGTATTTTTTGTTTTAAAAGAGTCTGATCAAAACAGTGTGAGCAGGATGAGCAATCATTAGTGACAAAATATCTCACTGGATAAGTGTACTCTAGGGAGCCTTTATTCTTCAAACTCAGTTATATTTATACCAATATCACACGTTAAATGATGAAAACAACCATATATTTATTATTCCCCCATGAATAATAGTCTTTGTATGTCTTCCACTTTTTTGAGCACCAGGCAAATTGTTTTCAACCTCACATTTTTTTTCTTATTAGCTCTATTTAATAGCTTTTGTGAGTCTCTCTTTATCACCATTTCTATGCTTTTTTCAGTTTGCAAACATTACCAGAAAGGCAATGTTTGAAAATTTGGATTTGTGTAATTGCACATGTATTTAGTTAGATCTATGTTTGTTCAAACACAGCACTGTCTCTCTCCCTTCCTTTCTTTCCGTCTCTCTTTGAAGGAGGCCCTGCGGCTTTTCAGAGCTTTAATCTTATAATGGCTTCAATAACAGCAACCTTATCTTCATGACAGCTATTTCAAAGGCTTGGCAGGTTTCATGCACTGTACACCACAATGCACACCAACAGCAACACAGAACCACGAGAATACATTAAAATACACGTTTTGTCAACAAGGACAACAAACTTAGAGGGAAAACAACCTTGTTAAAAAAAAATAATAAAGAAAGATGGATGGAAGATGCTTTTAACATGAAGAAAAAAAATGATATCTATTATTGTGTTAGCAATTATTAAAAAAAACAATTTCATCTTTTTATTATTATTTAGGAACAGATAAAACTAGTAGAAAAAAAAAATCCCTGGCAAAGTTGTACTTTCTGT